GGGTTGGTCACTACTGGGCTCGGGATGGGCGTGGGGCCTCGTGGTTCGGCTGCCTGCTTTGGATGGGTGAGGCTTTAGGGTTCAGGGTTTTAGGGGTTTAGGGTTTAGGGGTTTAGGGGTTTAGGGTCTTCGGGGTTTAAGGCTTTAGGGGTTTATGGGTTTATGGGTTTAGGGTTCAGGGCTTTAGGGGTTTAGGGTTTAGGGTTTATAGGGTTTAAGGTGCAGTCTGCGGCGGCTGTGGCCTGGGCAGGTGTGCCGCCTCCAGCGAGGTGAGCCACGTTTGCTGTTCTTTGGGCCGGAAGACCTGGAGTAGTCCCTTGAGAGTCACTTCCCATGAAGCAAGTCTCAGCACGTGTTATCGGATCCTTAAGGGAGGGTGGTTCAAGCGGGGAAGGTCCTAAGAATCCTTAGGGAGCTTCAGGGAACCTAAGGAGCCCTAGGGAGAATTGGGGATTATTGGGTTATATACCCCTCTCAGAACCCCCTCCCTTAAGGGTCCCATAAACGTGCTTCATCCCGCATCAACGTAGAGCCGCCCTCTTCTGGACGCCGCAAACTGCGACAGGATGTCTTTTCGAACATCAGTTTTTGACGATTACATATATGGGGTTTCCCAATAAACAGGGACCCTAATATAGTACCTTTAAATAGTAGGATCCTTATTATAAGGACCCCAAAAGGAAACCCCCATATGGATGCCCGAAGAAGGGATGGTCACTGTCGCATGTAAGGCGAAAAGGTTTGTATGAATCTGCCATCGGCAAGTACAAGCCCGAGCTTCTGCCGGGAAACTTCCTCGAGCGACGCACCTGCGACTTCAGCACGTGCGGACAGCAACGCGCAAGGCCAAAAGGAAAAACAACAAAAAATCCTACAGGGTTCAGGGTTTACATGTTTACAGGGTTTGGGAATTGGCAGTTATCTCAACGCCAAGGGTCCCTGTCTGCATCGCCCGAAAGAACGTCAAAGACAGCGTTTATGGCGAATCCAACCAGCAAGGCGAGAACTCAACATGCTCAAGGCTTTGTATTGAAGGCAATGATACTCCTTTTACCAGAGGGTCCATATATACTACTAAGGTACTATTATGGAATTAGGTCCTCTGGGACCTAATTCGATAATGGTAGTGCAGAGGGAGCCTGTGGGTTTGCAGTCCCTAGACAACCTGCACGTTTACACCAACACATGGGTAGTTCTCTAAATTCGGGTCCCTTTCAGGGTCCTTATTAAAAGGGTGCCGTACTATATAGGGGATCGAAAAAAGGGACCCTAATTTAGAGAACTACCCACATACCCCAAACCGCGAAACCCTAAAACCTGCGTCACCCCTTTTCTCACCATGTTGGCTCCTATATCCAACCCCGAGCCCCCGAGCCCCTAAACCCCTGAACCCCTCAACCCCTGAACCCCTTAAGACCTGAACCCTGAGCCCTAAACCCCTAACCCCTAAACCCCTGAACCCTAAACCCTAGACCCTAAACCCTAAACTCTGAACCCTAAACCCTAAACCCTAAACCCCTGAACCCTAAACCCTGCACTCCTAAAGCCTAAACCCTAAACCCCTGAACCCCTAAATCGAACTTTGCTTCTCAGGGCAACACTGGGTTTTCCTTCGCCAGGCCCGCGCCGGCCTTCCCGGACACTTCACCCAACAGCCCAAGTCTAGGGTTTAGGGCTTTAGGTGCTTAGGGTTTAGGGTCTAGGGTTTAGGGTTTAGGTCTAGCGTTTAGGGTCTTTCTAAACCCTGAACCCTCAACTCTACCCAGTACATGCGAGCTGCGGGGAAGGCTGTCGACTTTCTATTCTCTTACTATAGAGGCTTAAATAATTGCCTATACTATGTGGTGGGGGGGGGTCCTTATAATAATTATAGTATAATGGGCCCCGAAACCCTGTTCTAAATATTAAGGCCCCTATATTACTCTTTTTGGGGTCAGCTCCTAGGTTTTGGGGTTCATGCAGGGCCTTGATACCTCGAATACGGTCGTCTTGGGTATGGTGCAGTAAGTAGTGTATCAAAGATCAAAAACGCTAAGGGGGAGTTTCGGTGATTTAGCAGGCTTCTATAAACCTTAACCCAAAACTCTAAACAATACTATAGAGCTTAGAGTGTTGTAAGTTGGTTCGGGTTCGGGGGTTCCAGATCAGTCTGGTACTGCGCGGTTTAGGGTTTGGGGGTTTAGGGGTTTAGGGTCGGGTGGTTTAGGGTTTAGGAGTTGGGATAAAGGCGAAAGGGTGAAGGGTTTAGGAAGGCCGTCAGGCATGGCAGGTCGCAGGTTGAGGGAGAATACCTATAGTCTCCATGGTAGTTCCCTTTTTTTGGTTTAACCAAGTATATATTAAGGATGTTACAAGGTATCCCCAAAAAGGAACCACAATGGAGACTTTAGGTATGGTTCTCCTGTACTTTATGCTATAAGTACATGCAGAATTTCACAAGAAGACGATCGGCAATCGTGCACTCTTCTACCAGATGCTACAAGTACATGAGGCACAGAAATACATGTATAGTAGACACTCCGACCCCTTACATTCAACCTGGAAGTGTGTAAACCTTCGGATCTTCACACCAGCTGCTCCTGCAAGCCAAGAGATGGATGCTCGAAGGGAAGCAACTGCCATCGGAACTTCATAAATACCTATAGTCTCCATTGTAGTTCTTTTTTGGGGGATGCCTTATGCATTCCTTCATACATAACTGGTTAAACCAAAAAAAGGAACTACAATGGAGACTATAGGTATTTTCGATGATGTTGGCAGCAACTTACTGGTGCTAGAGCCTGTTAGAAAGTCTTGCCAGTTATGGTACCCTAAACCCCAAACGCTAAACCCTATAGGATGCGCAATGAACCGGACAGCCTGGCTCAGCTCTTCCTTGTTCACAAAGAAAGGCTTCACATCACCTGTGCCGCGCTTGGGTTCAGGGTTTAGGGTTGCTCCGATGGAGATTTTTCCAACGTCCTGAAAACATCCTATAGCCAATATTCCATCCTTCCCGACTCTGCCCCCAGAAATAATTCAGTCTCTGCGGTTGTTTGACTGCTATGAACCCTAACCCCAACCCTAAACCCTAGACCCTAAACCCTATAAACCCTAAACCCTAAACCCTAAACCCTAAACCCTGAACCCTAACCCCAACCCTAAGCCTACAGACCCAACACTACTGCGAACCGTAGAGGCCCTGTGTCAGAGGGGGACCTGGCCGGACGCAAATTGCTACTGCGGTCGGCCGTGTCATGGCCAAATACGCTTTTCGGAATTAAGACTTACCCAGAGAGCCCAATACCCCTTAATTAAGGAATATACCTTAAATCAGAATATTAAGGCCCCTATAATTTAAGGTATATAACCTTAATCAAGGAGTATTTGGCTCTCCGGGTATAGAGTCTGGAGTTTCAAGTCAAGAGTCTATACCTCAAATCAAAGCGGCCTTAATACTATTGATGATATAAACCCTGCATTACCTTAAGGACCCTAAACTCTGGGAAGTATGGTGTATTCCTTACTATGGGTAATGCAGGATGTATATCATCAACCGTATGAATTGTGTGCGGGAAACCCTAAACCCTAAGCCCGAAACCCTAAGCCCGAAACCCTAAACCCCAAGCGGTGTCGCACCGGAGGCTTCTGAGAATTGTGGCGCGCATCCCTTCGGCGCTGAACGCTGCAGACACTCCCGGCGAAACCGAAAGACATACCCGAGGTCTGAACGTAGGGTTTAGGGTTTAGGGTAGGGCCCCACCCTAACAGCATGGATATCACGAGCCCTAATCAAGCGCCAAACCTTGAACCCAACCTTCGAGACTGGTGCCTGACCCTAAGCCCTAAACCCTAATTAGACCTAAAATCCCTAAACCCTGGACCAAAACCCTAAACCCTAAACCCGAAACTAAAACCCCTAAAACATCCCAAACCCCAGACCCTAAACCAAAACCCTTAAACCATCCTAAACTCTAAACCATCCTAAACCCTAAACCAAAAAAAAACTAAACCATCCCAAACCCTAAACCCTAGACCGTGGGAGCCACTGTGGGCCACAGCCTCCGCTTCCCAGAAGCAGTCGCAAAGGGGCGGCTGCATCTTTCGTGTCCTGCGGCGAACTGCTTGTATTAAGTGGTATAGGGCCCGCTGGGAAACAATCTTCAACACTGGAAGTATACCCTAAACCCTAAATCCTAAACCCTAAACCCAAAACCTTAAACCCTAAACCCTAAACCCTAAACCGGCAAACCATATTCTTCAGATCACCCTATGCACTAAAACCCAAACCAATAGATGAAGTAAAATATGGCGAACCATACTCTTCGAATCCTTCCTGGAGAGGCCTATAACTTAGAAGCCCAGTACACTGGCCCAAAAAAGTTTAAAGTTTTCTTTTAGTAGGGGGGTTAATATACCAAAAAGTTTAAAGTTTACCTACTGGGCTCCTAAGATAAAACCAAACCAAAATGCGTAACCCCCAACCCTGATAACAACCCTGAAGCACCCTGTTCATCAGAAAGGGGTACGTAGTGGGCTCTCTGGGAACTCACACAGCCTGCTAGTTGGCTTAGGGTTTAGGGTGTCGGGTTTAGGGGTTTAGGCTTCAGGGCTCAAGGAGTTTAGGGTTTGGGGGTTTAGGGTG